TCCACGTGGTGCACCCTGGACAACGTATTTTCTTACGGCAAAAAAGTCTATCACTCGGAATTCGTTTTTAACTTCGATTCATTCGTTTTTGACTCTTGTTAATGTTTCAATTAAGAGCGATTTTTTTTTCTTAGAAAACTGCAATTACATGGTGGAACTTGGCCAACGTTCAGGCTTTAGTCTGGTTGGAGTAGCCGGATCGGACCTTAAGGAACGTCAAACTACTCCTGTTTTGGCTATGCTTTGGCAACTCATGCGAGCTTACACTTTGTCTTTGTTGGTGAGATTGGCTGAGGATACGGAAGAAGACCCGGTTGGCTATCACCGAGCACGTTCTCCTGTTATAAGCAAACCAATCATCTCCGAACGCGGAATCATCGATTGGGTGAACGGTAGACTGGCTCAAGCACACAAAACTCGCCGAATTTCAGTGACTGCTGGATTCTCAGACTTTGAATTAAGAAACGGACTTTTGATTATTGATTTATTGGAAGCTATCCGTCCAGGATGTGTGGATTACAGCGTGGTCAATATGGGCCTTACTCCCGAGGTATGATTATAGCAAAACGAAATTAACAAGCCTATTTTATTAAGAATCTAATATCTAACTTACCAAAATGATTTTTCTACTATTTGTGACTGCCACGCGGCTGTTTCAGTGAAATCATGACAACAATACGACTTTATTCTGTTACCATGGGCAAGACGCATATTTTACAGAAAACACCTCTTTAGATAAATGAGATATAATTAGATCTCCAATAGAAAGCATTGAATCAATTCAAACATTTGCATTTGAAGCAAGATAAATTCAAACTTTTCGTTCACTTTAAAGCTTGTAATAATTTAAGTTGCAATCGAGATGTTCGCACAGTTTTTGATCCCACAAAAACCGCGTTTGAGTATGGTTCTCACCAGAACACTACATAAAAATTGTTCCATATATTTTAAACTATAAAATAAAATAATTTAATTACTTTTGAAACATTTTTTTCAAGTGATAAAATTTATAAAAAGGTAAAGAATATCTTAACAAGAAAATGAAAATCGGTTTTTTACACACTTGCCTGAATAAATCGACAGGAAAAAGTGAGAGTTAAACCTATTTGCAGATAACTGCGATCTCAAGAGTAATTTTTGGTCAGGAAATTAGATTTTCTCAAATGCAATTACGTGGCTAAAGTTTCCTTAAATGCAAATGTGAGAGAATTTTCCATGAAATACAATGATGATCAACATACATAATAAAAACTTATG